ACAGCACTAATTATAGCTCTTGGTGAAAGCAGTGTCTTTCAAATTCCGCCCCTGACGGTACCAGAAGGGATGTCTGCTTACTCACAATGTTTGTATTAGATCTAACGCTGTTAGTTTAATTCTCTTCATCTGCACACTCATAGAAGCCATAAAGCATGAATTATCTAGAGAACCCTGTTAGACGACTTGGAAAACATAACCTCCAACTCCAGGTTTATATCATTGTTCGATCTTAAAATCCCCAGATCATGTATTTACCTGAGATCTAAAATGCGTTAAAGTAAATTAAATTTAAAGACCGAATGACAGTAACTACAATAACTTGACTTTCGTGTCTTGTTCCACTTGCAGTCTCTCCGTTAGCTCCACTTATGTACTTAGAGATTGTATCCAGGCAGTGTCGTCCTGAATGCTTTCCTCTGCCTGCGTGTGTCCGGGTCACATCTCCTCCATGCCTGTCCCAGCATTTCCGACAGGCCCCTTGGTGTCAGACCCGATTCAGAGAGGCACTGTTTCAGGCGGGGACGTGGAAATGTGTCAACACAGCAGAAATGGGCCTTTATTCTCTTTCATTCCTCTCCTCTGCTCAGATTCCTGGATATTATAGTAAATAGGAAAATGTAATCGGTACTAAGCAGGTTTCTAATTCACAGACGAAATAGCAGGAAAAAATAAAGAACCAGAATGAGATAAATACCCCCATGGCCTTCCAGGTTAGAGTCTAAACACTAGCTGCATATTTCATTTAGATGATTTTGTGGTTGATTTGATCATTTTAGAGAGTACTGGGCCATTTTAAAGCATTTTCCAGCTCTAGCGGTAGATTGATTTGGGTTTGTTATGTTTTTTTTTTTCTTGCTCAGAGCTATTACCTGGATAATACATTTTTACAGATGTGTACTAGACCTTGCTATAATGCGCAAAATACCTTAGTCTCTTGCATTTCTCCTTTTTTACATAATGTTTTTTCAGTGTCCACCACCACACATCCCCTGAGCCCTGAATGTCCCACTTGCTCTGCCTGCTCTCCGATCCTGGCTGCTGCAACTGTGCGGCCCAAACCAGCAGCGCCTGTCTCTGCAGGGACCTTGCTGAAAATGCAGATTCTCAGGTCCCCCAAGCCCTCTGGAGTCAGAATCGCCATTGAACAAGGTCCTCTTGTAAAGTCATCTCTCTCCCATAAGCAGATTTTGATGATGCATAGTCATGGTTTTCAGGAAGTTTCCTTGGACAACCTGAGGTTGAGGTCATGCATTACCCCATACTGGCGCAGCACAGCGATGGTTTTGAGTCCCTGTCACTGCCAGACAGGTTCAGAATTAGCCTCGCTGTCCCAAACAGGGCTTTAGGTCTCTCTGGCTACCCGGTGCCCCACAGAGCTACAGGTTTCTCTCTTAGTTTCTGTTTGGCCTGTCAGTTCTTCCTTTTGACAACTGATTCCCCTGAAGACAAGTACCCTCCTTGCTCAGATCTCTGGGGTTCTTGTCCCACATACCACATTGTCCTTATCTGTGTCCACAGCATACTTTAAATGCCTGGTGGTGGGACCAGTATGATAGCATAGTTCTTGTGACCACACCTCCACACTGCCCCACCTCCGTCCTCTTGCCAGCTGGACAGGGAGCAGGTACCCATCTCTGTGATAGGCAGGCTGTCAGCAGGAGAGGTCAGAGGCAAATAGGCCTGCGTTTGAGTACTTTTCTACCGCTTACAGACTCAGTTACTTCAGACAAGTTTAATTAATCTTAACTAAACCTCGATTTTTTCTTTTGCAAAATGAGAAACTTCTGGGGTTGTTATGTAACTTGAACAAGGCCAAGTGTAAAACACCCTGCATAATGACCAACACAAGCAAATGTTGGATCAAAGCTAGCTGTCATTATCATGGGGTGTTAAATGAACTTAATCCCTTATCATATATGAGTCGTATCCCCCAGGAACACGAGCTGTGGGCCACTTGGAGTCTTTTTGTGGTTAGAAGATTCTTCTGCCACGTCCATCTTTTCTTTAGTTTATTGTGTATCTGAACAGTATGGTAGTAGATTTCCTGTTCAATTTTCCAGACTGAATCAAATCTTCGACTCTATAAAACTCTTTATTTTTCACCAAGACATCATAAGTGATACGAATAATATAAAAGTGAATCTAGTATAGATCCTGCTCTCCGCATATGCAGCCCAGCAGTAAAAACAAAGTCATCTATAACTGCTGCTCCCCACAGAAGGAGGTCTCCAATTTTATGGATGCTTAGAAAAATGTGACATGCTGCCCATCAGGGCTGGGAGATGCCCACATGAGGAACAGGCACTGCATTGTCACAGAATCAGGCATTCATCCCAGACTTTGTAATGTGTAGTTAGGAATTTGGCAGGTAGAGGTGTACGTGAAAGGTATTTGAATGGAGATCACCGTGGGCTAGGGGACGATGCCACAGTTCCATGGCAGTGAAGAGTTAGGCAACTGTAGATGTCACAGGAGAACGTCCTTCTAGGTAGACAGCATACATTTTCATGGTCAGTCTTCACAGCACCCAGTTACCCCTAGGAAGCAGAGTCATGGAGCTGAGGTTGGAAAGAGTGACTGGTGTCATTTCACAGAGGAGGTTTCCTGGTGGGGGGGCACCAGGCCCAGGGCCATCCTTTGACATTTATTCTAAGAATTGGATGTGTAGGGATCTCAAGGAGAGGATACAGTAGGCAGCAAGCCAGGAGTACTCCTGGCAAAATGTGACGGGGAAAGTGATTCCCTTTCTAGCATCAAACTTGCATTAGTTAAAGCAAAGTAGTGACACCCAGGTTGGTGAATATGTAGGGAAACAAGTAGGAGTAGAAACTGGTATCGTGTTTCTGGAGGGTAGTTTGGCGGGACTTAATAGCCTCCTTTGAAAATGTTCATACCTGTTTCTCAGCAATTCCAACATCTAAGAATTTATCTTAAGGAAATAATTAAGGTTGTTTACAAAGATTGAGCCTCAGGGATATTAGCATGGTGTTATTTATAATAGCAAAATATTAGAGACAGCCTGAACACCCACAAATGGGGGATTTGTTAAGTAAATGATTATACGTACTGCAATATTTTGTGGCCATTAAAATAAATATTTTTTCTGAAATAGTAAGTGAAAACAGATTACAATATGTTCATATTCAACTCATTTTGTTTAAATATAACATGTGAGTGTGTTGCTTTAGGGACAGACGCACCCCTTCAAGTTCAGAGAGAAAATGCATCAGTGTATTCCTGAGGATTCTATCAGAGTGCTGGGGGCATGGCTAGCACTGATTTATTGTTCAAATTCATTTGCACTGGTTATAATTTGGAAAAGGGTTGGTTTTATTCATAAAAGATTAATGTGAGTGATGGCTGTGGCAATTCAAATGAGGAGGTTGAGTCAAGAAAGAAAAGCAGTAGTGCCTTCAGGGCTTGGTACCAGGAGCGAGAGCTCAAAATGGGTGTTTTGAACCCAGGAACTGGGAGAAGTTACGAAAGCGGGCACATCTAAATTGGAGCTATTTTGAATGGAGCACTGGATATTGATCATGTTGACTTTAGTATCTGAAGTACGAATGTTTAACAGCCCCGTGGGGTGGTCTTGGCCTTCTTGAGACACAATTACAGAGCAAGTAGAATAAGATGATCCCAACGTGTTTCTTTGGCATTATCCGTATAAATTTGCTGATATTTGTGGTATTCTCCACAGACGTTCAATTAAACTCATTAGTGACCTGTGAAAAACTTCCAGACTATCATTTTTATGACTTTGAATGGTACAGAAAATAGTATTACCATGTTTTCTTGAAATTTTCTTTTTTTTTTTTTTTTTAAATTATCTTCACTTGAATTTGACGCTCACAGTCCTGTGGTTGTAGGCAGCCTTCAGGGCCCCCTCTTGGCCCCATACAATAGCCTATAGATGTCCAACTCTGCACAGACTGATTGGTTTCCCAATAGCCTGTGAGTGTCCACACATCCTCACAAGCGTAGTGTTGGCCTCTGTCTTGATGTGTGGTGATTTATACCCACAAATACCCCGAGATGCCCCAAAGAACACATAAGCTGGGTATATATGTATATGTACTAGGACCTACGTGCCAAAAAAGGCCCATTTGTAAAATATAAATTGGAATTTACCGTCAAGTCAAAAATGGCTGCCAAGGTAGTAACATTAACTGAAGTTGCCTTTCTTACACTTAATCTTACATACGTGAATTCTTTTTTGAAATGCCATTATTGATTTTACAGATGAAGTTTTTAAAATGAGATAACATGTAAAATGTTGAGCATATATTCAGTGTGCAGTCGATCTCCTTTCTGTTTAAAGCAGTGAGTTTTTAAAAATGTGTTAATTTACAAATGATTGAAGGCATGTCACATGGTCATCACAGATTCCAGTTTCCTTAATACACACATTGTATGAACAATGTCCATCCCTCGGGGAGCTCCTGCCAGGGAATTTGCAGTTGGGGAAGGAAGGTCATTGGTAGAAACGCCAGTCATGCAGGCGGGTCTAAATGCTCACATCTGCAAGCAGGTTTCTGCAGTGCGGTTTCATTCCTGACCGCCTTTTTACCTGCATTATATTGATTCTTTGATCTTACTGTTAGGGGACTTCCTTTTCTTTCTGCTTTGATTTAATAAGGGGAATGATACTTGACACAAATGTTTCCCAAGGGGCAATCGTAAGTATTAATTGGTTTGTAAAACGCCTTTTGAACTGCTCAGATGAAAGGCCCCATAATAAATAGCCAATGTTATTTATGTTGTTATTGTTGATCTCATTGTGTATATTTTGGCTACTGGGTACGTTTAAGGCACTGAGACTTGCATTTGAGAATTTTAAGATGTTGGTTATGAGACAGAACATAACCAGGTATTTAATATTCAATGTTTGTCTGCCAAAGGCTAATTCATCTGAAATGATACAAGTCTGGGGTAAGGAATGCTTAAGTATGACACTTCCGATTTGAATTGTTAAATGATCCCTGTGAAATGATCCGAGAAATTTCTCAAAGTTCAGAATACCCAGGCCCTAGAAGAAGTAAAGCTCGTTTAGAAGCTGCCTCCTCATCGGCCACTTACTGCTGGCTTTTCACTGGCAGTAGGTTGATTCTGTCATTTTTTAACTCTTCTTTAGCATGTTGTATCTCCACTGTGGACACTTGCCCTCAGAAGACATTAGTCTGTGACATTTCTGGTCGGCACTATTGGGGGGGGGGGGTTGAGCTACTGGTGTGAAGTAGGTGGAGTGCAGAGGCATGGTACCCATCCCATAATGCACAGAATATAGTCTCTCACTACGAAGAATCACCCAGCTCAAACAACAGCAGTGCTGAGGTCAAGAAACTCTTACAGATGTCCCTCATTGTCAAAAATCAGAGGTTTTCCTCCAGAGTTTGTTGCTTACTGCTATTTTTTAACCCACCCCTTCTGCATTTCTCTGCAGGTTGGCATTGTAGGAAGAACAGGAGCGGGAAAAAGCTCCCTCATTGCAGCCCTTTTTAGATTGTCAGAACCCGAAGGTAAAATTTGGATTGATAAGATCTTGACAACTGAGATTGGACTTCACGATTTAAGGAAGAAAATGTCCATCATTCCTCAGGTGTGTAAGTCAGGGCGTCATCACGTGCTCCTTTTATAAGGGCGGCTAAGTTTTAATTGCTTTAATTTTATTCCTCTTTTTTTTTTTTTTTGGAATGAAAGGATTCATCTCCCCCCCCTACTAGAACATATTTTTAACAGCCGGTATTTTTATCAGATACCAGGGTTGCCTTGTTCATTTATTTGTTTTCATGTGTGTATTTGATTTAATAATAACTTACCCAGATAGCTGGACTCAAACCTCCCCAGGTGCCACAGTTTTATCCCCTGATACCCACATAATTCTGAGAACAAAATGATAAATGGTTTGTTTAGCACTCAAGGGGTTTCTATAGAGAAACACGGATTTTAAGTGTCTTGATGGAATTTTGCTGTAGGAAATAAAGCTACCTTTTCAAGGGTGATTATCTCCAATGAGAACTTTCTGTCAAAGTACAGAGCTGTGAGAATTAAGGTGGTTTTAGATACTTTGGGGAATCTTCTAGAATCTAGCGATTAGTGAATGATCTTAAGCAGGGAGGTGATGCATTAATATGAAGAGTTGTCCAATTTACGCAGACAGAAAGTAGAGGGCTGGTCACCAGGGGCTGAGGGAAGATGAGGATGAGGAGTTAACATTGTTTGATGGGTTCAGGGCTTCAGTTCATTAACATGAAAAAAGTCCCGTGATGGATGGCCATGATGACTAGGAAACAATGGGAATGTTCTTCATACCATTGAAGGGTCTCTAAGATGGTTAAAGTGATACATTTTAAGCTGTGTGTCTTTTACCACCATGTTTTCACAATTAAAGATATCCATTTCAGGAACAAAAGAGATTTTCAACATGTAATATTCCCTCTGACAATTAGAAGCATGACCTCGTGATTATAGTAGGTAATGAGAGTTTAAATTCCCAAGTTGTACCCATCTCAAAAATGGGCCAAATGAGATTTATTTTGTGGAGATAATGGGCGTGTCTGTAAAGTACTTTCATATCCTTGGATGAAAGGATCTAGAGTCGTGCCTTGCATTACTTTTAATGCTCCTTAATAAGAAATGGTTGTGTGCTTGTGTACATAAAAGAACTCTAAATAAAGAAGTAATGTTAGACGATTCTTGGCTCTTCCAGCAATGTTTTGGAAGCACATCTGAGCAAAAACTAAATATACCTTGACATCACCAGGTTTTGGTCCCGTTCCATAAGTTTCCACCCTGCTTTTGAGCACATGCTCTGTGTATATGCTCGAAAGAGTGTACTTACAGAACAGTGCTAAGCTTTGCATGCATGTGGATTAAGGTCACCAAGTCTTGTAAACACAGAACCTTTATTTTTTAACTTTATAGTATTTCTATGTCTCCAAGTTGCAATGTTGTTTGATAAAAGAATCGTAGTGTAGAGTGACTGGCAATGCCTAAAGTGTCCCAGGAAATCACTCAGGCGGCAGCCTGGGATAGATTCTTTCAGAGCAGGCACTGAGTGTCAGTATGACCCACATTTTTATTTCTGTGCTGCCTGGGGGAAGTGTGTGACCTTGATGAAGTCACTTAGCCTCCAAAGCTGCAGTTTCCTCATCTTTAAAGCAGGTCTCGTAATTCCTACCTCATAGGTTTGTTGTGAAGGTTTAATTGGATGGAAAATATCTGTGGCCCTATGCCTGGTTGTTAGGAATGAATGCTCAATAAATAGTAACTTTATTATCAAGGACTTCAGGTATTATTACTCCTTCAGTAAAAATGGTAGCACTTCTGGAAGACTTTGCTCGTTAATTTCCATTTATGTTTTTTGTGATCTTTGGTCATTTTCTTTAAAGCAAATTATTTATGTAAATTTAAATAAGAGAATAAACACAGAACAAAGTCACGAGACCTAGAGCTTTCATCCCTCATTTGGATGTGAGGTGGTTTTGAAAGACTGAATTGTTTATGTTTTTCTTTGCCAAAAACTTCAAGTGACATTCATCCCTAAAAGAAAAATTATTTTAGAAACGGTCTATTCACTTTGTTCCGTGGCCTAATGAGCGTCAAGAGGGGACGGTGCAAGCCTTACCTTGCGGGAGCTCACAGCCCTTTGTCTTGCCTCTTCTTACTGGCTGCAGAGGGGGGAGAACTCTGTAGACCTTAGGGTGCCTGAAGGTTACTGCCCTGCGGTGCAGAAAGCGCACATCCCTCTTCCTTGTATTGAGTAGGAAGCAGGGTTGCCTGTGTAGTACTCTAATTTAGAGGACTTAGGAAGTTTGGAGCAAATACAGCAAGAGGGACAAGAGGTGCTGTCTCTTTGAGGGGTAGGTGAGTGGGGCCCGCGACTGCTTTCCCGTGGGTGGAGCAGCTTCTGTGTTCTCTTTTTCCAAGCTCATCCCCTTAGGTTTCCGTTCAGGGTCCGCCCGAGCTCTTAACCCCACAACTCACAATTCAGAATTAAGGGTAGGTGGTAGCAACACAGACTTGGGTGGGTGGGCACAGGAACGGTGACACGCACCAGACATGAGCCAGTTCTGGAGTCACTTTAAACAGTGACTTCTGTATCCTTAAGTATGTACTCTTCTGGATTTGTGTTTTAAAATGTCAAGAATGAGGAAAACAGAGCAGGCAGCTGAAATCCGCACTTCTTTCCTGCGCATCACCCAAATTGGTTAAATGCAGTCCCCAAAGTGAACATTGAGGTGATTCTCTGGTCAGAGGATATCTTGCTTATCTGAAAGGATCTGAAAAGTTGAATTTCAGAACTTTGGAATGGATATTTTACATCTAGAGCCCCTATCCCATTGGCACAAAGAAAATGTTTTCAACTGAGAAATAATTCCATGAAAATTCAGTATTCATGGTAGCACCCTAAGGGGTGGGCACACACCAACAGTTATAATCTCTAATCATAAATAGATTGATTTTGTATATCTAATAGGTTATTTATTTATTTATTTTATTTTTATTTCTTAATTGTTTTTGTACTTTCTCATCTGCTCACTGCTAAAAGCCTTTTGCTGTTTCGTATTTTCATTCCCTGAGTTTTCTTTAGTAGGTTGAAAAGGTTAACCTGAGCTGTGTCTCTAAAGACTTCTTTTTATTATCTGATTTTTTTTCTCGCGCTCTTTTTTTTTTTTCTTTTTCTTTTTGAGCACAAAACTCAAAGAGAAAAAGAAGTAGGTATGCCCTTACTAGTAAAGAAATACAATTGGATTCCGGCCTAATGCAGTCCGTCCTTTGTTTCTGAACACTGGAATCTTCATTAAAGCCCATGGAACTGCTCCCTGGAGCTGGTGACCTTTTTGTGTCTAAAGAAGACTTTACTTGACTAAATTCTTTTCCTTTGTTCGTGGACAATGTTCTTTTCTTTGAAAAATGGATGATGATCTGTTTATTTGAAGGCCACAGGATTTAAAAAAAAAAAAGAAAAAAAAAAGAAGGAAACCAAGATTTAAAAGTGACTTTAGGTGATTCCCTTATTCTTGAGATAGGGAGATGAGTTGCCTTTATTAAAGATTCTCAAGTTTTTGGTTTTGTTTTTGTATTTATTGTTGGGGATTTGTAAGATCCTCGAGTTTTGAAAGTGAAACTGAAGCTCTTTGAACACCAGAAAATAACAGTACTGGGTATGGTAGAATATATATTTTAGGAGATGGAAGTTTCCTGGTTTGGGACCCCAAAAGATGAGAGTGAAGTAGAGTGTTGTGCTTTATCTTGCCTATTTGTAACTATTCATATGGTTTTTGTCGTGATTCCGAGTCCCAGCTCCCAGGCCGTCTTCAGTGTCTGGAGGTTAGTGGGTAGAGTTTCTTCTGGAGATAATGAGAGGCTTGTCTTCCAATGGTGTATACAAAAGCTCTCGGAAGACTGGAGATTTCAGTCTTGTGGTTGTATTGAGGGATTATCAGTTTACTACACTAAATACTTTGATTCAGAGTGGCCCTTTCTGGGTCACCTGCCTAATATGAACTTCTGTTATTTAGCAACAGAGGAAAATGGCACAAGGATATTAAAAAAAAAAAAAAACTTTAAACAAAAACTAGATTTGATCCTAGCGCCCCATTTAATATATTACATTCCACAAGATCATTTGTTTCCCTGACTATACCATGCCAGCTAACCAGAGGTTAAAATAAGACCGTTATTAAATGAGATTTAAATATGTCCCTTCACAAGAAATATACTTAGCCTTGTAAATTTTGTGTCTGTTTACATCAAGGTTATATGTCCTACCATAAATCTCTACTCTGAGTCGTTCTTCCTGCAAACGTTTTTACAACACTTATTTATAAGATTAGTTTATTAAGTCATTGCATGGAGGTGGGTACTTTAAATAATAATATCTATCAGAAATGATAATTAATTTGACTCTTATCTGCTCTTGCAGTATGTGTCCACTATGAGCGCTTTCATTACCTTTTGGAGATCATATAATGGTTTCTCACTTGGCAGGGGGATGAAAAGTAGAGGAGCAGAAACCAAGAGGAACACCAGGCGTCAGACACATTGGCACGTTAAAAGCAGACATTGTTAACAAATTGCCTGCTGGTTTTAAAGAAAAATATAGCTTCAATCAGTTAATGTTTTATTAAATCATTCTCCTCATTCAACAAGTTTTGATTGAAATTTTACTCATAGTGAAATATATTTGGCATGTCATAACAAAGAAAAATACTCTTGTTTTAAACTCTTCAGCCTAATACTGCTATATAAACACGAGGAATTGCCTAATAATTTCCCTTTACATTGACAGCCTGGATTTACTGGGCGACCCTTATGGCAGCGGGAAATGCCGAAACTTAAATTTGACCTTTCTGTGGCGGTCAGCAGTGATTTTGGTGTTGCTGAGCTGAAACTGGGTGGGCCCCCCCCCCCCCCCCGAGCATCTGGGATCAGAGTTCAGAGTGCAGCCTTAAGCCACCGCAGACTCGGTGGGGGCTCGGAGGGAGCAACTGAGGCTTACGTGAAGAATGTCACTCTAGTTCCCAGTCTTTGGAGAGGTTCATCTGTTTTCAGGAGTTTGCTAAAGGGAGTAAGGTGAGGAAGGTGACAGGTGAGGGCTGGGCCATGGATAGGGGATTGGAG